GTTTATACATTTGCGATGTCAAATCTGGAACTAAATCACATGTAAATTAAATCTATATTTAACCCAGTTGAGGAAATCACCACGCTCCACCCAGAAATACCATGGCTTCCTGTAACTGAGTAGCAAGCAACAGATATCATCAGACCCTCTGCCGTGAGTCAGGATGGTATTGTACAGTCCAAAGCAAAAGATGCTTATCTGGCAATGCAAGTGTGGTCCTCACATTCCCACAGAAAGACTAGCCCACATAGAATCAGTGGAAGGAGGAAAATGTCATGTGACCTGAGCGGTCTTTGTGAAGATGTGATCCGTAATATTTTGTTTGTTTTTTTGAGTTTGCCATCTTGACAGCAAAGAGTACTCAAAGAGGAATAAACTGTGGGTTTGTCTGGGTCTATTTTCAGCAAACTAGACATTCGGTGCTCTGATAGTGTCCATGTTCACCTCAACAAAAAGAACAGGTCGTCTAGTGCAACACTGGCTCACCAGTGGAGCTCAGTGGCACAGAGAGAAACATATATTGATCAGTATTGTCAGTAAAGACAATACAGGATATCACTAGGCATACTGTATCCTAGCTGGGCTGTAGCTTTAAAGTTTTACTTCATGCAAGCTTTTCAGTTTGTCAGCTCTCAGTTTAATAGTAACCTGAGCTACTGTAGCTGTGTATGACCTCTTGATCAACAGGGTTTCCTATATACTGTACTCCACATAAGCAAGTCTGCTTGGTGCAACTGCACATTTAACGTAATAAAACAAGGTGTGTTTCTTTGAGCTTGAGAACAGCACTTGCACTGCGTGTAAACCCTTCCTACACTGAGGCAATTAAAAGAAGCACAGTTAAAATGTTCTTAAAGACTGTGTCGATCACAGTGCAAGATGCTCCGGCTTATGTTTCTCTGTTTGTCCACAATACTGTCAGTAGTGATGCTTGTGGCTATCTCAGGCCTGCAAAAGTGGCTGAGAGTTACTTGGCTTCTATCTAAAGGACTCTGCTTTGTTAACGGATCTTTTCAAGTGGCCGAACACCAAACGTGAGTGATTCTGTGCTTGAATAGCTGGCTGTGATCCTGGAGGACGTGTTTTTGTTGGTGCACCACAGAAGAAAACGGAGCGAGTGGGTGAGCGAGAACGAGGTGTGAAACTTTCACTCTTCTTTAGCATTTGGTCGGTGAAAATACAACATACAGTTGTCTGCTACTACTGATTATTTCCATCTGTGCAATAAGCCTAGAAGGCAAAGCTGCAATATGCTTTAGTATTTAGGACAGAAAAGGCTTTTTTTTTAGATGTATATATATAGTACGAGGAGTAGCAGCACTCGTTGTATGAATATGGGGCTCTGGGGAGTAATAAAATAATTTTTGGTACAAGACAAAACACATGCAAACCATCAAGAGTCACATGTTCACCAGACAGCTTCCCACATGAGCAGCACAGATGACTCGTTTCTTACACCAGTGAATCAGGTAAATCTTAATCATGTCACTGACTCCTATGTTCTCTGGACAGTGTTTACTCACTGCTGGCAGTGTGACTGTCTTGTTAAATCCATCACTTCCTCTGACTGAACAAGTGAAGTTTCCAAAACAGAATATATTTTGGCCAAATAGGACAAATCTCAGTTGGAAGGACGGCGTCCTTCTCTATTGCAGCCGCACTTTGTGTTTTGGGCTGAAAATAATGTATGTGCACATAAAAGATTCCTTGGTGCAACATTTAAGTTGTTGTAGTGATTGAGAGATTAAACGGGTTTTCCTGTGAGACTACAAGTATCTGTCTTCTCTGTATTTTTAAATAATTCAGTCATTATAGCAGCATAAATATAGAAAAATAAATGTTTCACAACAAAGGATGCAAATGACTCTTCTTTTGTTTTCAGGATTCAGACATATACACAGGAGATGGGAGGGTGACATATGCAGGACTCCACTTGACCTTTGCCACTGTCTCTCTCAGTGTTCTTCTACATACATAATACAGTCTTTCTTTCACACAAACAGACACAGCTGAGCCCATCCTCCCCCTGTGCTGAATGAGGCCTTTGCTGACATATGAGCAGACACACAAAGCATCATTTAGCACCAGTCATTTGTCACATCAAAGCATTCCTTGGCACATGGAGGGAGGCTCCCTGTAATCTGTCAGAATAAAATGTAAACTGGCTGTACAGAGCAGCAGGATCAGCAGGCCCCCTGGTGTTAAATCAGCTCAGATCCTAAACTCCAAATGGTCCTCTGTTAACAGATTTGTATCTGAATGAAAGTAATCTGAAACTGATTGTGTCAGGACTGCAAGAGAGAGACTAAACACACAGAAACAACAATATTCCACCAAATCTAGTGGTTTAAATTTTAAGGATCTGTAAAAGTATTGTCTGCAGTCAAACATCTACAATCCGACCCCTTCCAAGAAAGAGAAAAGAAAAATAAATCCACCATCTCTTGCAGCTTGTGACCCAGAGCAACATATAAAAAGATATCAGGCTCCTCTTATTATGCACATATCTTTTTAAAGATTGAATTAATCCACTTCATATTGTGTCTCCCTTAGCAGTGCTGGCCTCCATGCCCCTGCTTCGTATTTACAAGCCTGTGGTGAGGGAGTGTGAAGGATGTGGTGACACTGTGTGGGAACAGGAGGGCTATTGATTTCTGATGGATGCTAGGTGTTTTATTTCCTCTCACCGTGTGAAAAAGACCCCCCGGCATGCAGGAGTACAATGTTAACACTCATTTATTAATGTGACAGGACCAGGAAATGGAAGTCTCGTCTTCATTGGCACAAAGCTGAGGAAGGTATCCTCAGCACAGTATCCTGGGTGAACTAAATGTTTGCATAGTCATAAACTCATTGAACGGAGGAGAAGTGTACTAGTGCCGATCTTTAAGAACAAGGGTGATGTGCAGAGTTGTAGCAACTACAGAGGTATAAAGTTTATGAGCCACACAATGAAGCTATGGGAAAGGAGTAGTGGAAGCTAGGCTAAGAAAGGAAGTGGATATCTGTGAGCAGCAGTATGGCTTCATGCCCAGAAAGAGCACTACTGATGCAGTTTTTGCTCTGAGAATGTTAATGGAGAAGTATAGAGATGGTCGGAAGGAGCTGCATTGCGTCTTTGTGGGTTTAGAGAAAGTGTACGACAGAGTGCCGAGAGAGGAGCTATGGTACTGTATGAGGATGTCAGGAGTGGCAGAGAAGTACGTCAGAGTAGTTCAGGACATGTATGAGAGGAGTACGACAGGAGTGAGATGTGCTGTAGGTCAGACAGAGGAGTTCAAGGTGGAGGTGGGGCTACATCAAGGATCGGCTTTGAGTCCCATCTTGTTTGCTATGGTGATGGACAGGTTGACAGATGAGGTCAGACAGGAATCTCCCTGGACAATGATGTTTGCGGATGACATTGTGATCTGTGGTGAGAGCATAGAGCAGGTGGAGGTCTGTTCTGGAAAGAAGAGGAATATAATACAGAATGCATGTGTATGAACGAGAGGGAGGGAAGTGGAACAGTGAGGCAACAGGGAACTGAGGTCAAGAAAGTGCAGGAGTTTAAGTATTTGGGGTCAACAGTCCAGGGTGATGGGTAGTATAGGAAAGAGGTGAAGAGGCGGGTGCAGGCAGGTTGGAGTGGGTGGAGAAAGGTGTCAGGAGTGTTATGTGACAGAAGAGTGGCAGCAAGAATCAAAGGAAAGGTGTACAAGACAGTAGTGAGACCAGCTATGCTGTATGGGTTAGAGACTGTAGCAGGGAGGAAAAGACAAGAGGCAGAGATCAACAATCAAGCACTGATCAGGTGGATGTGGCTGGTGACTGCTCGTCAGAGACGTAGAGCTCCAGGGCCAGGGCAACCTGCAAAAAGGTACAGGGAGGGAGAGAGGACACACTACGGGAGAGAGGAGACACAAAGTTAGTAATGTGTAATGGTGGCATGTAGATGTATGGAGAGAGAGGAGAGAAACTCAGAGCATCATGGGGCCCCCAGCAGCCTAGGCCTATAGCAGCATAACTAAGGGAAGGCTCAGGGTCACCTGATCCAGCCCTAACTATAAGCTTTATCAAAAAGGAACGTCTTAAGTCTAATCTTAAAGGTAGAAAAAAAAGGTAGTAAAAGAGGACATGAAGTTAATTGGGGTGAGAGTAGAGGATGCTGAGGATAGAGTTAGGTGGAAACAGATGATTCGCTGTGGCGACCCCTAACGGGAACAGCTGAAAGAAGAAGAAGAAGAAGTCATAAACTCATTGAACTTAATTTTGTGGGAAAACCATATAAGACCTAAAGTATTAGTCAGAGCAGACCATTGTGCATCTCTTTTCTGTAGGAGGTCTTAAATAATAGACTTCAGTTATTTTTTAAATAATATTTCATTTAGCATAACACTTTATGTTTTGGAGACCTTGTATAGCTACAACAAATAGCCTATTTCCATCAATAAATCCAATAACCTACAGTTGGCTGCTGAATGTGGAGCTTTTAGACCAGCAGACATTTCAAGAAAAAATCAGAATCACAAAGAATTTGATTTACACTCACGGCCAAGGATTAAATGTCTGTAATGGTGATCTGACCATTGTGATAAGCAACCCAGAAATGCCTCATGTAACAGTAAACAATCTGTAAGTGGCACAAGAATCCCACCAATGACTGGTCTCCGGGGGCGTTTCCCCAGCCTTCAGTCATCCAGGCGGCAGGCGAAGATGGAGAGGCGAAGCTGCGTCAAGTTCGCCAGATAAACATAAACCAGAACAGGAAGTTAACAGGAAGTAATGCGAATAGCCTTCAAAATAAAAATGTTGTTCGTCGTTACAACGAAATTAGTGTATCTCTCGAATTTGATGTTTTAAAAAAAAGAGAAAATATATAAATTCATTACAAAGCAGCATACGCGCATCAATAGTTTGATTAACGTTAGCTACCACTCTAGTTCATTTAGCTATAAAACTGTAAGTGGGCAACAGTTTTATTTTAAATACCCAGCACGGAAATCCCTTAAAATGTCTGTGATTTTTGCGCTCTCCAGATGAATATAGTGCCCAAACTATCAGTAACTATCGAACTACTTAGCGGTGGGAAGTCCTGCCTCGGGTTTTACAACGGTTGCTTGACTTAGTTGGGGGACAATAAATGCCATACCCGACTCGGCCCTAAGTCTTGGAGCTGGCGCTTCCCAGTGGAGCAGATGGCAAATGGTCAATTGGCAGGCAACGGCTTCCGCTCGTACCGTGTTGTGATGGCTAGACGTCGTCGCTAGCGGGGTAGCTATCTGTATGGCTGCTGCTGGTACCGCTGTAAGTAAGGCGAAATTAGTTAGCTAGCAAGCCGGCGGAGAACTATCGCACGACTGCTAGTTTGTAATAGACAGTTGGGCCTCTCTTACCGCTGCTGATAAGGTCGCTTAACGGAATATGCGCTTAGGTATTAGAGTAAGGTAAATGTGATAACCTAGTTTCACATGTTAGCCTAGCCCGTGAACCATTTACGGCTCAGACTATTCTCTGGATTCGAAGGCATCGCACCATGTGTACAAAATGTTTGTTGGAGTCTCTGTTTGGGGCGCAGATTTTGTAGACTGCATTGTTAACACGACTTGTTTTAGTGTAATGTCACCGTTTCAGCACATATGTTTCTGTTATTAAACACCCCAGGTCGGGTTGCCACACCAGTAAATAGCCCCCCGGCATGCCGTCCTGGTGCGGGAGTCCACATCACAGTTTTACACATTAACAAAGTGTTACGTTTGTGGTGCAGATAAATTGGGTTGTTTTCACATCTGCAGTGATACAGCCGACGGTAACGGCGAAGCTGAAAGACAAAGCATTCCGTTATTGAGAACTGTTATAGTGGAGTTACTTTGCGTTTGGATAACGTTGGTCTGAAATACCTGCGCTTTACAGTTTGTCTTATTGTCCTTTTTTTTTGGTCTGAAATACCTGCGCTTTACAGTCTGTCTTATTGTCCTTTTTTTCTCCTTTCTGTTGCAGGAAGATCACCAAATAGGAAATATGACATGTATACCCAGTGGATTACTCGTCATTCCTTCCAAAAACATGGAGTGATTTCTTAATAAAATCATGCGCGCCCTCAAATCAGATCACTGCTGCAGAGATTTCTTGCCCTTGCATGTGGATTTATCGGGCAGGTTTTAAAGGCCAGCAGCCACGACTGGATCTTTGTCTTCAGTGTGCTTCCTCTAAATATTAGCTATGTGTTTATGCGAGTTGGATACGCTCGGATACGTTTAAACATTAACGGGAATTCGTGCTAAGGAAGCCCAAAGAAGGAAGTCCAGGACGGGATAGGCGCTCAGACACTACCCGTTCCCAAAGAAACATGGCCTCAGTGTGGAAGAGACTGCAACGTGTGGGAAAACATGCGTCCAAATTCCAGTTTGTGGCTTCCTATCAGGAACTGATGGTGGAATGCACTAAGAAATGGTGAGCTTTTTGAGAATAGCAGGCAACCACAGTGCTGAATTAGGTGTCTTCTTGTGTGTTGGAATGTTGTTTGTTCCTGGTGGCCATAATTCGCACACACACACACAGTCACACACACACAGTCTTCTTGGTGTGCAGGCATGTCTGCATACTGGGAGGGGCCCGGCTGTCTTGTAAAACTGCTATGCTTTTTTCCTAATATTCTGGCTGTCTCATATATGTAGCTGGGGAGGAAGAAATATAGACACACCTCTGAATTTTAAGTCCAGTACAACACCACCTTTAACTATGACCTCAATAATAAATATATATACATTTATGACAATTTCATTAAAAACAAAGATTTTGATCTTCATAAACACAGATGTTAAGGAGGAAGTGTTGCATTGAAGTGCATACAGCTGTACATATGTGCCTATTAAAGTGGCTGGTCAGTGTATATCAACAAATGACTGCACACTGATGTAGTCTACAATAACACTGTACCTGTTATGTTTGTAGGCTTTAGTGTAGCTGCGTTTTCAATGGCTTCAACGTTTGTGAAAGTACAACCTGAAGCATTTCTTTAGCAACAAATTAATGAATGATAATCAGTGCAAAGAAATGAAAGTGCCATTGGGTATGTTTTCAGAGTTGAAGATAGAGTGGAGAGATAGGTGGACATGCACTACACTTCATCCTGCAGGTATGTGTTTGGTAATGAGTGTAAAGTGGCGAACTCTAAAGCGCAGATGTCGCCTGCAGACATGGATTCTGATGCAGCTTGCCGAAGGCATGACTAACACAGCCCACAGAGCTTTGACCTAGGACAGATGTTAACAAGTTAGAGAATGGAATGAGAAACATCTCTTCCCAGAGCAAAGTGTAAGTGGGCTCAGGACACAGTCGGTAGTATGCTTTGTTTTACGATCTGAGCACGCCTGTTTTATGTTTTTCAATAGAGGAATTGTGTTTACATAGCCATTTATTGTAGTGTAATTTAGCCTAGTTCTATAGTAGTTTGGGTTAACTGTGATTTATAAAGACAAAATCTGAATTTCTCTACTAGGGATGTTACTACTTGGGTTTAGTGGGTGATTGGGACCTGGTATTTTGACCCCAGGGAGTGTAGATGTTGTATTTCTGCAAGTTTGCTGTTCTGGTCAGCTTGTTCAACAGGTGTTTCACTACATTGATGTCTCTGTAAAATATAACTTCATCTCTGCTCCCCTGTGTTTCTTCGACTGCCCGTCCCTTTCTGTCTCAAAGAGACAAGAAGCAGAGCTTGCAGTTGATTTTACTTGCGTTGTTGTCACTTACCTTAATATATTCCCATAGCGCTGAAATTTCTTCTCCACCACCTAACAACCTCCCCAGCCAGTGTGAGGTTAAGGTTATGTTTCCGTTAAGTGGCACTGGGACAACTTTTATAAGTACAAGTACTAGAGGGTGGTATTGATCCTGATACCGGTATTATATCGGTGTGTCCCTTTTTATCAACACAAGCAGAAGATTTACAAAGTGCTTAAATATTGTTTTTCCTACTGTATAGTCTGTCAACATTTCAGGGTTAGATCATGTCATTTTCTGTTGCTGTTAATGAGCCACTAGCCAGTGGATGAAGCAACAGTTCATCTTAACTGTCAAAGGTTTTTAAGTATTGCCTGAGAAATGTCTGCCTTTACATCCAGTGTAGAGTGATGCCTTCAGGTCTCTCCTCGTGTATATGTATCTATGCACGCCTTGGCTCACAGGGTGTGAGAAAGCGTTGGTGCATGGTTTCTGCCTTTCTCGGACTTCATCAGTACATTATGCTGTAACAGTGGAAACATTGCATCTAGTCAGAGAGAAAGAGTCCCCAGAGCTAAAATGGATCTCCAATCCGGAAGCCTTCAGTGATTTTTGAAAACCCACATCCTTTGATTTCTGAAATCAATAACAGGAGGAAAGACAGAACACTTTGTATGTGCCAGTGGTTTTATATATGTGTGCCCATACATAAAGATGAGGGTGCTTTGAATGTACATCATGTGAAATGTAAAAGCAGTTTGTACATTGGGCTGACACTCAAAGGCTTAGGCAGAGAATTTTTAAAGTTAAGATAATTTAGGAGAACACTTCTGTTCTGCTGCGTGTGTGATTAAAGCGCTTCAGGTGTGATCAGTCTCCTCTTATCATGTGACTGTGGAGTAATTTTCATCCAACCAAAACAAATTCTTTGATGCTTGAATTGGCCTCAGGTGATGTGGCCTCTCTAGAGGGAACTGAACCCTAGACAGGACCTGGCACATTGTCATCAGTCGACCACTGTTACTCATAGTTTTTGTGGTTCGAGTAGCAGCATTTGCACTTTGCCTCATCACTGGTTGTTTAGTTAAATTATCATGTTAAGTGAGTCACAGTCTGTCAGAGAGTTTTCTGACTACTGACCAGTATTTCACCCCTTTTAGAGACATTTCAGCTTAGTTTTCATGTCTATTTTCTTCATTCGCAACATATTTTTAATGTTTTTGTTCTTCATCAGTGTGACAAGCTGAGGAGTGTGGGAGTTTCCTGTCATATTTTATGTTTGTTTTGTATTTATCTATGGCCTCCTTGCTCTGGTCGACTCCTCTGTCAAGCAGAGGGAGTTAACATTCCTCTCACACACCCACTTCAGACTCCAGAGTCAGTTCAGACAAACCATTAAACCATTAAAACATTAATGAGTTCACTGTTGGTGTTTGCCAGTGAAATAAAGCACCATTCAGTGTTGCAGTGATGCTCCTTTGAAACCTGGCGGATAACATATTTTTTTGATGAAAAATAAACTACTTACTGTGGCCTTTCATTTGTAGCAGGTAATTACGATCACTCAAGTTGAGTCTAGGAAACTACCTTGGCACATGATAAATAACAGCTGTTAAACTTGTGACCTATTTAAATCGATAAACGGACACTGACTAATAATACTTCTAATGTCCACAGTAGGCTGTTCATTTTCTTAGACATGTACGTTTCAGTACTGTGTGATGGTCTTATTACTGTGGAAAGAACTGTGTGTGTAGTCTGGAGGCGTTTTAATGTTTGCGCTTTCATTTTGAGGCTTATGCTCACCTGACATGTTCCTCTGATAGTTGCTAATCTAATTCTGTTGAACCCATGATAATATCACTGTCTGACGACCTCATTGTTAGGAGAGCTCAGTGACTTCTGCACTGCTCGACTCTCTTTATGCCGCCTGACTGGCTGTGTGCCTGACTGGTTGACTGACCACATAATAGTCATTAGAGGAGCTATGATTATACAATTATCTAATCAAACAATTACTTTTAACAGAAAGTGAGAATATGATGACAGAAAAGCTCACTGTCTGCAGTGTTCCCTGAGGGTTAAATGTGGATGGAATTAGTCACATATACAAGGTCAAGTTAGAATATTTATGGAGGCACAGTGCACCATTGTTCGCTTTGTGTGTTGAGCGAACCATTGGTCCTTAATTTTTCCAGACATAGCTGCTGTCCAGGCTCAGAGAGGGACACATCATTTTTGCTCATTCTCAAAAGGTGCAAGGTCCATCTGCTTTAATTGTTTATTGGCTCCCTGCTTCTGCTGCTGCTAAGCACTCGGCTGCAGAGAGGACAATCCACTGTTCCATCATTCTCTCTTGTTTATTGGTGTCTAAACACCATATGTGTCTTTTGTTATGTTTAACTCAGTTGATTTGATGAGTCTACCTGTTAAAAGGTCTGCAGTGTGTATGTCGTTGCACATGAGCAACCACAAATGGAAGAGCTGCACCGATTTGTTTGATTTGTTGTTCGTGTTGCTGGTTTGTTCTTCTTGTCAACACATCCTGGTGTCAAGCCTCCACTTCAGAATTTTCATTCAGCAGTTTTTATTTATTTACTCTTTCACCATGAATCCAGGTTTCTTGTTCAGATTATTAAGTGGAACAGATGCATTATACATACAAACTTAAAACTTGGCCAGAAATGGTCTGCATTGGTGGTTAATAGATGAGCAGTGTTCATTAGTCAGGCAGCAACTTCTTTCCTCTGTTAGTATTCACCTGTGACTGGCACTTCTGAGCATGAATGTGTTTTTCTTCCAACCTGTGTTTTTTGGCAGACATCAAAAGCCACGAGTGTCATTGCTGCTGACAGACACGTTGACTCGTGTGGTGAGGATATGAGAGTTGTACACTGGAAACAACACAGAGGTGCTATTGATTACATGGTAATTTTATCTGACTACACCTGAGTGTGACTAATCAAGACTGCTTCCCTCACTCCTACATGACGAGACAGGGATGGTTGGAATTAGTCAAATTGGAGATTTTCTTATCAATCAAGGACTGTGATGAATTCCTGAAGCCACACTGGCACATGCACAACAGGCATTTCATAGGGATTTAGACACTGATCACGCACCAGACAAACATACAGACTCAAGCAGATTAACAGTTCCATTGAGGTGTTCATCATTGTGGTCATAGTACCACTGCAGTGCTTGACGTGTTGTACATTTCCAGTATTGTACACCAACTGTAAAGTAATTGTCAGTTCATTCAAAAGTTTCCACTGGATAAGACTTTGCCAGCTAGAGTTCTGCAGTATGGACAATCTTTTAGCTCCTGAAGAGATGATTTTTGAGCTGTGCCTGTTATCATATGTACTTGCATTCTTTGTTCTTTCACCTGTGCTAAAGACCGACAGTCACAGTGATGACTGCAGTTGAGCAAATCGGTAAGCTGCTTTATGTTCAAAGCTATAAAACTGCTTGAAAATAGTGCATCAACAACATCAGTGTGTCTTTAAGCAAAACCTTGAAACTCTACTTGCCCACTCATTGTATTATCACCACACTGAAGCACTGCTCAATGTCAGTGTCTACATGAATGTGAATCTTGGATACCCCAGTCTAAGCATCAGGCTGTCAGCCGACTGATGGCTCATTATTTCAGTGGAAGTGACCAGCGCGTGTCAGGCTGTGGCATGTTATTTGTACTATGGCAAGTGTCCATCAAGTCTTGGTCAGAG